ATCAGAGACCTAAGCGCTGACAATAGCGACGCCAGGGATGACACCCAGTTAAAAATAGATTTATAATTTACCCCCGAATTTCGTAACTATTTGAACCTGTTCAGTGCGCAAATCTGTCAAAAAAAAACCCCGCTCAAACTAAACATGTAATGCCAGCGATCAATTCCAAAACGAAATGCGAAATATATGCCGTTGTGGTCCACGTTATCCAAAATATGCAGAATTTGGTCATTTCACGTTGTTGTTTTGCGGAGGACGGCAAAGAAATGTACCAAGAATTATAACACACGAGCACAGCCATTGTTTTGCTGATTAAACCTTTTGTTTAGCGACGTTTTCGTTGGGCATGCTGTTGCCGTCGTGGTGTGCTTAAGAGAGAGCTTTGAATCCTTGTTCATTTCAGTTGCCGTCCTCCGCAAAACAACAACGTGAAATGACCAAGTTCTCCGTATTTTGGCTACGCCCACAAAACAGGATGTTGGTACCTCTCAGGGGTTCTTTCAAAAATTTCCGACGAGCAGCCCCGTCCCTCCCGGGACGATTATGTATTTCCCGTAAAATGGGCTAAGTGGCCATGATATTCTAGCCGTATCAAGTCACTGACTTGATATCGCAAGAGATCAAGACAGCGACACGGCTCCTGGTTAATGTCAAATTTAGGCACGGTATAGAGCAGTGCAGCCAGGCAATCACATAAAAGTATTACTCACACGGGAGCATGGCATAGGATGACATACTAATATAGCTAGTTTACTACAGAAAAACATAGCACGGCATAACATAGGATAGCATAGCATGCATAGGATGGCATAATAGCATAGGTAGTTTACTACAGAAAAACGTAGCTTGGCATAACATAGCATAGCATAGCATGCATAGCATGGCATACTAGAATAGCTAGTTTAATAGTATAGCACGGCAAAAAATAGCATGGCATAGCATAACATAGTATAGCATAGCATACCATAGCATAGCATGGCATACCAGAATAGCTAGTTTAATAGTGTAGCATGCACAGCAAGGAATAGCATAGCCTGGCATAGGGTGACATACTAGCATGGCTAGTTTGATAGTGTAGCATGCGCAGCAAGGCATAGCATAGCAGGGCATAACATGGCATACTAGAATAGCTAGTTTACTGGTACATAGCATGGCATAACATAGCGTAGCGCTGAAAAGCGTAGCCCAACATAGTGTAGCGTATTAGCATGGCACTAGCATAGGCTGCATAGCATAGAATGACATAACATAACGTAGTATGTAGCATGGCTTTATGGCATAATATTTACGAATATGGGTTTTCCTCTGTTTGTTTTGTTTTTCAAACTACGTTCCCAAGTCCATAATAGACAAACTCGATCGTCTGGTGCCTTGGACATACCCTTATGTCGCCTGTCAACAGGGCAGCGCTCTTTTGCTTTCAGAGGAGCCAAACTCTGGAACTCTTGGAATAATAATATTAAGTCCTTAAAATGCCCCAAGAATTTTAGGCGTCATTTTGCAAATGTTCTATTAGGTTAATTTAATTTAATTTTATTTTAGATATATATATATTTGTAATATTCTTGATATACTTATTGTAATTATAATATTATTGTACCTATATTCTTGATTAATTTAAATTTAAATTTGTATTTGTAATTGACTTAATAATTGTAATTGTATTGAGCTGAAAAACCCACATAGGGAGCATCAATAAGTTTGTAAAGTTTGTATGTTTGTTTCTTTGTTTTAAACAGAACAGATGGGGGCGATTGGCAATGCCTTTGTGGCATGTGGAGTGATTTACCTTATCGATGATTACAATCAAAATCCCACTACCATCAACTATGCTTATGACACCAAGACAGGAACACAGTGGAACCCAAACATACAGTTCACAAACCAGTACGGCTACAACTCCATGGTGGACTACAACCCCAGAGAAAGACTGCTGTACGCCTGGGACAGCAGGCGCCAAGTCACTTACTCTCTCACTTGGAATTGAATCAAGGAGCTAGAAACAAGTCACGGGTAGCTGGTTGGCTTGTTGCAAAACATGCATACTTGTAATAGAGACCATATCATGGCGATT